CCAATGGGGCCGCCCAGGGGGTGCCAGGTTGGTATCAGTCCAGCTGGGGCTGCAGTGGCCAACGGGGGCCACTAGGGGGCATTAGACATGTTGCAATATCTCCGGTCTGGGGGGTACTAGGGGGTGCTGTGCTGGACCGTGGGGCGGGGAGAGGGGGGGGCCTCTGGCCAGGTCCCAGCCCCTTCCCCAAATCTTGTGCCCTCAGCTGGATCCCTGTTCACTTCAGCTGCCCCTGCCCCGATGGCCTCCCGGAGCTGGAACTACGTGGCCATGGTCTTGCTGACCCCCCTCGGCCTGCTGGGAGGTGAGTTGGGTGCCCGGAGGCCTGGGTTCCTTCCCCCTCTGTGGTCTGGGGGAGTTAGGAGCCTGGACACCTGGGTTCTCCCCTGGACCTGGACCTGGACCTAGGTCAGCACCATATGTAGACTCCTGGCAGCCCCGGGTGAACTTTTAGTATCATCCCCCTTTGCCAGGGATAATGATAATAATAATCGAACAACAGGGGAAAAAATTACCATTTTCAGGCCCCTTTTCTGTCAGGGCCCTGGGCCAGGATACTTGGGTTCTCCCCTGAACTCAGGACCTGGATACCAGGGTTCTCCCCCAGACCTAATTCCTATGAGAATTAGGCTCCAGGAGATGGTGACCAGGGGATTTGGGCTTCTGGCTCTCTTGTGGGGAGGTTGCCCCTTGTCACATTCTGGCTGCTCTGCTTCCTGCCAGGTGCTGACGTTAAGGACTGGGTTGTGGCCCTCCCAAAAGACCCCATGGATGTGCAGGAGGGCTCCTGCGTGACCCTCGAGTGCAGCTACAACATCTCTCTGGGGAAGGACGTTGGAGCTGTGTGCTGGAAGCAGAATAGAGTCATTATTGCTTATCACTCAGACAAGGCTTATGTAGATGCGGCCTTCAAAAACCGGACCTGGTCCTTCAGCAAACACCCGGGCAACTGCTCTCTGCAGCTCATGGGGCTGCGCCTAGGGGATCAGGGTACCTACCGGGTCTGCACTGGGAATGGGAATGAAGAGTGGTGCAGCCCTGGAGCCGTGCAGCTCCGTGTGACTGGTAAGCAGGTCCCAGCTGCCCCACTGGCTGCATCTGTGAGGAGAGGGCAGCCCCAGAGCTGGCTCTGTTATCCCCGGCCCACCAGCCCCATCTCTGCCCTCCTCAACCATCCCAGAATTCAGTGCTGCTAATGGGATGGTCTGGGACAGTTGGGATGCATCTGGCCCTTGTGAGTTGCTCTGGAGACTGGATCCCCCCCAGGGCCCAGCCTGGCTCATGGGCATCTCTCCTCCCAGCCCACCCATGCCATCCTAGCCTGGAGACACCACAGGGACAGGGGTCCCTCTCCTGCTCTGTGCAGCCTGACTGCCAGGGATCCCCTGTCTGGGACAAACGGGATGACCAGAGGATCCCGGCTGGGATGGGGAACAGCTCGCTGCAGGTGTCCCCATCCCAGCTGGGTCCCAACATGATGCTGAGCTGCCGGGTGGATGGACACAGAGACCAGTGCAGCCCTGAACAGAACCAGCCCCTACAACCAGGTGAGCTCTGCTATGAGGTCTCCCTCAGCCCAGGAACTTGGGCACCTGGTTTCTCTCCCACTCTGGGGGCTGTGGGGGTGAGTGCAGAGGGGCCTGGGACACCTGGGTTACCTGGGAAGGCAGTGGTGTTGGTGGGTTAGAGCACTGGGGCTCAGAGTCAAGGAACCAAACTCCTTCGCTCTGAACCCAGCTCCAATGCCAGGCCCTGACCCCGGTCTTGGCCGCTCACCCCCAGGGAATCTGCACTTGAAGATTTTGCTCCTGACGGCAAAGCGTGTGGTGCAGGAACATGACTATGTCAACATGCGCTGCATGGATGCCACCCGGATCCCCGTGGCCAGGTACTTCTGGACGCATGGGGACAAGTGGCTGCAGGAAAGAGGGCAGTATTTGCGCATCAGCGACATCAGCACTGCTCATGGAGGTGTCTACACCTGCAGCGTCTGGGTCTCCGGCCCTGGGTGGGCGTTCCTGGTCTCCTCTGGCAACAGATCCATCACGGTTCATTGTGAGTGTTGGGAGCCCCTGAGCCCAGCTCGAGGTCCTATCCTACCTTGTCCCCACCGCAGCTGCCTTATGGCTACTCCAGAGCTCTTGGCAGTAAACCCTGAATTCAGTGAGTGCTGCTGGGACATTACCTGACTGACCTGGGGCTTTTCATGACCTCCTCAAGCTTGCCCCGGCTCTGACCAAGACCTGCCCTAGCTCTGACTGGGGCACTCTGGAGAACAGTTCCTGCCCCTTGCTCCTGCCCTGGCCCAGCCTGGTTCTGTCCTGGACCCTCACCCTGTCCCATGTCTTCCCTCCACCCACCCTGTGCCCCCAAATCTGTGTCCATCCTGCCCCCTCTATAATGTTCCCCATGTCCCCATCTCTCCCTCGATGCCCCATGTGCCAGGGCTGCGGGAAACGAGGGGAGGAGAGGGGTGGAGGGCTGGGCTGTGTCTCTGCTCAGTGCCTTATGGGGAATTGTCTTCCTCCCTGGGGCCAGCCACCTCCATAG